TATATCAATTCATGTGAATATGACTGAAAAATGTAATTTTTTCTGAAAAGGTGGTGTCTATTTACTTGTGACCACACTGTGTACATATACTAATTGTCATCTTGCGCTAATAAAACAAGAAGAAAAACCCGTATAAATGTTTCTGGAATTAATCTTATTTAACGTCTTTCGGACTGATTTTATATAAATGAGTTGTTCATTATATAATATGTATGGATTTGTAAAAGTTCAAGCATTACCGAAGAACATTCGAAAAAGATAGATATCAATAAAGTTAGTTTATGTGTGATTTTAACCCCCTTGTATGGATAGTTGTTACTACATTTACTTACAGAATATGATATCAAAAATTCAATTATTATTTTTTTTCAGATGTGAAAACTGATTCTGTTACACATCTCATCTACCCAGGTGAATATTTCGAATTGTTAAATCATTGAAAATAAAATAACAATGACGTATGCCGACCCGTTCGACTTCCCAAACGATACCGGAACAATGTATGAAGCAAAATCTTCTCAAATGCACGAATGTAAAGAACTGATGTATTTTGCTGCCTTTTGCATTATTGTTTCGATCATTGTTGGCCTAAGCGGTAACTTACTGACTATTGTTGCTTTATTAAGATGTCCACGAGTGCGCAGTGCCACAGCTGCCTTTATTATTAGCCTTTGTGTTGCTGATTTTTTGTTCTGTGCTTTGAATCTACCATTCAGTGCTTCTCGATTTATCCATCAGAAGTGGATTCATGGAGACATTTTGTGTGTCATGTTTCCTTTCATGCGGTACGTCAACGTAGGGCTGTCGTTGATGTCTATCACAGCGATTACAATAAACCGTTATATCCTAATTGTTCATCAAAGACTCTATGAGAAGATATACCGAAAATGTTATATTGCAATCATGATTGCTGCAATCTGGTTGTTTTCCTTCGCTATGTTGTTACCTACACTAATTGGCATATGGGGGCGCTTTGGATATGACAAAAAGATATTAAATTGTTCTATCCTGACAGTTAACGGTCAATCTTCAAAGACGTTTTTGTTTATCTTTGGGTTTCTTATTCCTTGTGTCGCCATCATAGTTTGTTATGCCCGTATCTTTTGGGTATTAAAGACGAGTGCCAGTCGAGTTCGTGCTTATAGTAACTCGGAAACAAAGGAACAGAAAAAGAACCGAGATGCAAAAAAACGGAAAGAAGAATGGCGAGTTACTCGGATGGTTCTTATAATTTTCTGTTCTTTCTTGGTTTGCTATCTTCCTATCACTATCGTAAAGGTAAGTTTCATTATTGTATGATACCCTCATCCACAGCTTTCACGTACAGTAATTATATTCTACTAGCAGAGACCCGCAAAACATTTCCGGTCAAATTAGTATATTTACCATAACAATACTTCTTTAAATATAACATTTCTAGCACAATACAAACGAATTGTAATCGTAGACAACGAAATGTGTAAATCCACTTGTATATAGGACGTACTTTATAAAACTTTAACTTATGTTAGGCCTAAGTTCGATAAAGAGATTAATTAACACTGTAACCTATGTGCGTTTTTTGTTTTTTGTTTACTTTAGTTTAGTTAGGACTAAACTTTACTGTACTTCATACTATCGATAAATAAACTTATAATGCTATTCTACGACCTAACGTCAAACCTTTTTTAAATACTTTGATAAGTTTTTAATATTCTGTTGTACAAAATGATTAGTAAAGTATATTTACATTCCCTTTTTGTTGTTACTTCTTGTTTCATACAGCAACTGTAGCGACTTGATCACTGAGCTTTGCAGCTCTCTGCCGCAGGCAAACTTTGTCGTCGAGTGAATAATGAGCATGCGCGGTTTTTCTTGGGAAACATTCTAACTACGCATGCTTATACAGCAGGTTCTCGGTCAGAAAGCGTAACGGTCGTACATACGTACAAACAAGCCAAATTAATAGTATAGATATTCACATTTATGTATTATAGATGTCCATACAGTACAATTAAATCAGTTCTACACTGTTTAGAACAAGAGCTGTAATTCAAATGCAACTTCAATATTGGTGAATGGATGAGAAATTACATCCCTAAGTGTGTAAAGGAATGTAAAAAATGTGCAATAAATGCATATATGAAGCATATAAATATACACATTTTTTACACGTGTCTCCTGTATATATAAACACACATCTGTAAGTGTGACACATTTTTAGAGTCAGGTATTTTATCACGTTGGTGAATAGAGTCGGTGCTCCTTATAGAGGAACAATATCGTAGTTGATGGAAAGAGACGTTTGTTTGTTTTATTATTAAACACAAAGCTACACAATGGACTATCTGTGCTTTGCTCACTGCGGGTATCGAAACCCAATTCCTAGTGTTATAAGCCCTCAGGCTTACCGCTGAGCCACTGAAGGGCAGAAGAGAGAATGAATGACTGTCGAGAAAAGCGTTAAGACCAGTTTGACAACAAAACCTGTATTTTAATAGGTAATAAGTAACGATAGATGGAATGGAAATCTTGGATCCTAAGGAATTGGTAAGGCGTGGCCTTGTTGCAAGCATACGAGACCTTGGATTAATTAGTCTTTGGTTCGCGTCCCGTTGCCACAAAATCGCAATCCGCTCTTTGACGCCATGGGTACGTTTTAAAAGTAAAGGTCAAATATTAGAATTTGCTTAGAGTAGTATTATTGGTACTGTTGAGTAGTTTCTTTCCATCTGGTCTTTCGTTTCAAAATTAGGAACAGCTAAAACCCTTTTGTAGCTTTGCACGAATATCCCCCCCCACACAAAATTAGCAACAACTCAAACAAAGAATTTTGACTATAAACATTAAAAAAAAAGGAGTCGAATCATCTTACAATCTTTGATATGAATGTGAAAGGTTAACTAATTTTAAAATAAGCATAAAAAATCAGTAACCTGAGAGCTTTCAGAAAGTGGACTTCCGTTCATCAGGGGAAAATGATAAACGTTTGTTTTGAATTTCACTCAAAGCTACAGGAGGTCTATCTGCGTTAGCCGTCCTTAATTTAGCAGTGAAAGACTAGAGAAAAGGCAGCTAGTAATCACCGCTAACGAATAGTGGGATTGATCGTCACATTATAACGCCCCCACAGCTGAAAGGGCGAGCATGTTCAGTGGGAGGGGAATTCGAACCCGCGACCCACAGATTGCGAGTCTAACCACCTGGCCAGTTCAGGCCACAATGATAAATGATCTTGTTGAGCAGCAGTGTGATTGTTGTACCGGAAGTAAGGTGTCACGTGGTCCTTAGAATATCACCTAAATTGTCAAACATCTTTGTGTGTGATGAGAAACAAAGATAAATATTAGATTTGAAATAAGAAAGACTTAACAAGAATATATGTTCATGCACAAAGTAATGACCAGAAGAATTGGGAGATTTATCAACAAAAGTAGTTAATGATATAGGAACGAAGAGTGAAGTATCAATAAAAAGTTTAAGAACAACAATCCTATAACAATACATATATATAATTGAGAACATAAAATTGATAGAAATTAAATGAATATCATAATACAGAGATAAAAATAATTTTGCTTAAACAATAAGAGTTAAAACATTATTAAAGCAGTAACAGAAAAAATCGCTACAAAGCAGAATTATCTAAAAATTTTCAACAAAACTTTGAGTTAAAGGACAAAGATCATTAATACCGGGGTCAAAATTCATACCACGTCTAACAGCGAACTTTATTTACAAGGGGACCGTTTATTAATACCTCTGTATAATTAACTTTTTCTTGAAGAATTTTGTTTTTCGATAGGAAACTACAACAAAAGACTTCAAGAAAGATTTGTTTAGGGCATTCGCTGACTGTAGACCGTAGTAATGTTTTTAAATGATTCTTGAAGTATTTTAAAGTTTTTGGATACTATGTGATTACCAGAGGAGCTGTGTTAGTTTGTTTGGAGTCAGACATGCAAAATGACAATTTTTCAGCCTTTTCAATTTGTTTTTCTACTTCAAGAAGTTTATAACTTCTTTCTTTCATACGAAAGGTTTAATTGTAAGTAGTATGTCATTTGATGTAGGTTGGTTTATTTGTTTTAACGCAAAGCCACGTTGGGCTATCTGCGTTCTGTCTATATGGAATCGAACCCCACAGTTTAGCATTGTATGTGCGTAAACTTACTGCTGACCCACAGTGTGGTTAAATCAGTTATTTATTTCAAGATTCATGAAAATATTTAAGGTAGTGTTAAGAGTTTCTAGACCTCCATCATGTTTAATGTTAGTGTACAGGGATGGGACGTTTATCGTACAGAGAAAGCTTTTAGGAAGCAGTGTATCATCATCATTAATATTCTGAACAATTCTGTGGAAATGAGAAGTGTATTTAGTATTAGAATTGTAGAGAATGTTTTTATGTGTCGATCAACATAAGCAAATAGTTTTTCAGTAGCCATACTTGTGTTATAGAAATGATGGGACGACTAGGATAGTTGAGCTTATGGGTTTTAGGGAGCAATTCTTCCTTAGCAGACTTGTAAGTATTTCTTATCAACTTGGTAGGTCTGAAGGACCCAATTTAGTTTGTTATTTAGTGGTCTTTGTAAACCCATTATATATAGACTTTAATGAAGTAGGCTACATTTGTTTTTTTCAAGAATAACAAACGCACCACCTTTGTCAGTAGGTTTTATAACAATATTATTTTAGAGTGATTCTTGCTTTAGGATTGAGATTAATACGAGTGTGCTTACAGGATTTCTATAACTATCATGTCTTTCTCAAAATCTTTAACGTAGGTTTTAAGTGTGGTTCTCTACTTGTCGGAGGTGTTCACGTAAATTGCTCTTTATAATTGGATAGTTGTTTCTGGTTAAAAGAATACAGTTTGCTGTGAAAGAATTCGTGTAGGTCAGAATTAAATTTGGCTTCATTAAAAAACGTATTGGTGGGAAAAGATTTAACCATTTGTTGAGAATACTGGCTTCAACATCAGAGAAAGTCGTGCTTGAGAAATTAAAGATCTTGAAACGGTTTTGGGTGATGTGTTGTATATGGGTTGTAGTAATCTTGAAGTCATTAGTTTTGTTCACAAGACAAGTATGTGTTAGGTATCTGTTTCGGTATTAGAAGGATGAGTATTCCTATTAGTACTTTTTTAGTAAAAAGCCATTTGTACTGCTGTTCCATGATGGTGGGTTTAGTCACATTAGAGCTGAGAATACTGCTTTTTTATTGGTTAGGCTTATTAGAGTAAGTTTTTTCTTATTGGTGTAAGAGGTTTTTGTTTAAAAGAATCATTGGCAGCTTTACTTCCATTAAGACGGATTTTATAAAGAGGAGTGATATCTTGATCTTACTGATTGATACTGTTGTGCTAAAGTCATCCTCGAATGTCATGAGTTGCGAAGACGTGTTTACCAGTGATTAGTGCCAGATGTTAGAAAAGTCCTTTTCGTGAGTATCTATTGCGATAGTAGATAAAGGAATATGTTTATTCTTTCTGTACACTGTTGTGTAGCTTCGGTGTGCGTTAAGTATCAGATTCGCTTCTTAGTTGGTTTACGAAGATTTGAAAATATTTTCTTTTTCAGTAACTTAAATCAAAATAAGCAGCTTTAGACTGAAGAAAGGAGTCAAGGAAGTATTAGAGAACGGTTCAGAAATGGGATGGTTACTTATAGGGATTTCACTATAGTTTCACGAGCTAGGGATACTAGTTTTAGTAAAAACGCTAGTTTGAGAGTCTATATAGTATGGGAAGAAATAAGATCAGGTGAATCAGTGATAACAGGCGACTTAGCTTTTACTGATTCCGAGAGAGTAGTTAGAGTAGAGGCATTGGGGCAGATTCTAAGAATGGAAGCATAGAATCGTGAAAGTCGAGGAACAGTGGGGATATATTGAAATTGTGCAGTGATATCAGTTGCTGTAATATAAGAAGAGTGTGATCTGGTGAGTCAGAAAGTTTAATAACCATAAATTCTCTGTCGAAACTTAAAAAAAAAGAAGACTTTAATGGATCAGCATTTCAACACTCTCACCCAATATGTTATGAACCATATCCCCAGTATTAATGATTTTTGTCCTTTAACTCAAAGTCTTAAAAATTATGTTTTGAAATGAGTTATTGAATCTATTATTGAATTGAATCAATAATGTTTTGATTCCTACTAGGGGATAAACTCGTGCTTGCGTACGATGTATGTACTAGTTATTTGACTAATGAAATATTGTTTAGGGAAAAAACAGTATATATTAATGAGATTGGATCCTCGACCTCCCGCCTACGAAGCGTGTGCTTTTCC